CAGGTATCATCGTAACAGTAGAATGAGTGAGAAGCAGCATCAGCCGGTGGTTTCCCGCCTGCTCGAACTGCTCGAAGTAGGCCGGCTGTTAAATAGGAAAATGGCAGAATCAGGAGAGTGTTCCCCTGCGTGTGGTGGGAAGGGTTGGGTCGAGAAAATGACGGTTATAATGCTTGATTGTGTTGCAAGGGGAAAGAGAAGAGTGTTGGAAAACAACTTATTCGTCGTTCTTTTATATTGATTGAGAACGATGGCTTTTTGCTACGTAGTTGTGTTTGCATGAAAATTGATATGGTCTGATTTCTCTTTCTGTTACGCAGCTGTGTTCGCATGAAAAATGAAAAATCGATGTCCGTTACGTAGTTGTGTCCGCATGAAATCCCAGTCCCTGTAGCACGTGGCGTGTAACCCTGACCACTCTCCTCGATCAGTTGATAAACAAAATATTTTATACTATTGTTTTGTATATATATATAGTATACATATATATATTTATTTATATTTAATACAGCATTAGTTCTGTGCAGATTTTGTAAAAAATTAAATAATAAATTAAATGAAAATTTGCGCAAAACTTCAGACTCAACAGCTATAGCCACTCAGGGATGGTAAATGACCCAAATGACCAGTGACCAGTCATTGGATCATTTCAGCTATCTGACCAATAAAATTACTTTATATGTAAATGACTAAAATGACCAGATTATTTAAATTTTGAGTAAATGACCTGGTCATTTACCAGCCACAGAAATTAAATACAATTCTGTGCAAAATTTCAAATTATGAAAAATTAAGTTATATAATATTTTATATTTATTCCGTTTATTAAACTTTTTTTTATACGGTATACTATATTTTATTTATTTTTATATTATCCCTTGAGACCAAATTCGTACAAAGTGACCTTCAAATTCGTACAAAAGGACATTGTAATTTTGATTAACTGAATCGCAATATCTCGTGATCTGATTTGGATGATTTTGATACCATTCGAATTTCTTCATCGAGAGGATTCGAATGGTATCAAAATCATCCAAATTGGATTACTAGATCACAAGATATTGCGATTTATAATTAATCTAAATTACAATGTCCTTTTGTACGAATTTGAAAGTCACTTTGTATGAATTTAAAAGTCACCTTGTACGAATTTAAAAGTCATTTTGTACGAAGTTGGTGTCAAAAGGGATATAATTTCCACTATAGTAATATCCAAATTTTATGTTATATAAATTGTTACTGCAAACAATTTAATACACAAATATCGAATTTAAATTTTATTAAATAAATTTATCAACCTTATTATTCTAATACTATATAATATAAAAATATTAAAAGTTTATATTATATAACTATTAAATATTTTATTTTTCTAATTATGTACTTTTTTTAATGTTTAATATTAACATTAACCCCAACACCCAACGGTCCAAAAAGTTCTATTATAAATTTTCAGATCTTGAGATTTTTGACTTTTTCCCAAGGAAACTACAAATTAAAATAAAAAAGTATAGAGGGACTTAGTGAATAAAAAGATGGTAAGTTAAATGTAGAAAAGAAAATTTCTGCATACCTCTTCACGACCAAAATGACCATACGAAGCAGTTTGTTCATAACACCAGCCATCTGGCTTGTGAAGACCAAGTTGTTGTACAATAATACCAGGCTTTAAATCAAAGTTTTCTTGAATGATCTTTAGTAGTTCGGCGTTAGTCTTTGTTGAGGTACCATAAGTGTCAACAAAAATAGAAAGAGGCTCAGATACGCCAATAGCATAAGAAAGTTGAACAAGAGCACGGCGCGCAAGTTTGGCATGAACGAGGGATTTCGCGATCCAACGAGCTAATTACAATCAGAAAATCAATTTAGATATTTTGTCAGGCCACATATATATAGAATGTCTTTGATATTCTAACAATCATATCTAAGACATACAGCCAATCCCCGTTAATATCAACAATATATTTGGATTTTGAAATTTATAGTTTTGCCAGCAAATATAGTCAATAAATCGCTATTATCAACAATTCCATCAGTTTAGAAATAGTTGACTATATAAGTAAAATCCTTTAATAACAGTCTCACATTGCTATCAATTGCATATATCACCTAAAATTCCAAGTTTCTATTAACGAGGGACGATTGTATCTGCTTACCAGTATAAGCGGCAGAACGATCAACTTTAGACCAATCTTTGCCAGAAAAGGCACCACCGCCATGCGCACCATGACCACCATACTGCAATAATAGTAAATAATTTGTAAGAATAAATTCTTAACAATGAAATAAAAGACTATCTTAAGTTATCTTACAGTGTCAACAATAATTTTACGACCAGTCAATCCGGCATCACCTTGAGGACCACCAATAATGAATAATCCAGAAGGTTGTATATGATAAATAGTTCTCTCTGTTAGGTACTTGGAAGGTATAACAGTATCAATAACATATTCTTTTACTAATTGTCTAAGCTTTTCAGTTGTAATATCAGGAGAATGTTGAACAGATATGACAATAGTATCAACTTCGAGAGGGATCAAAGCACCATTATCGTTTCTATAGCGTACGGTTACTTGAGTTTTAGAATCTGGACGAAGCCTGATGATAATAAAAGCAAGTTATATAAGTTAAAATAATTTAATAAAATAAAGTATAAAAGTTATTCATTATCATGATATTTTAAAATCAGTCGAATTAAGCTTACCAGGCAAGAGTGCCATCTCTACGAAGATCAGCCATTTTCTTATTAAGTTTGTGAGAAAGTACAAGAGTAAGTGGCATATATTCTGGAGTTTCGTCAGTTGCATAGCCAAACATGATACCTAATATTGAAAAGAGTTAAAAGGAAGCCGGAGTGGAAAATGAATGGAAAAGATGAAAAAAAAGGGATTACCTTGGTCCCCAGCACCGATATCTTCGAGTTGGCGACTTTTTTGAGTAAGGCCTTGAGCGATATCAGGAGATTGTTGTTCAATAGCAACAAGAACATTACATGTTTTATAATCAAATCCTTTTGAGGAATCATCATAACCTATGCGCCGAACAGTGTCACGGACAATTTTTTGATAATCTAGAGTAGCCGAAGTAGTGATTTCACCGAATACAAAAATCAAGCCAGTTTTTGTGGCAGTCTCACACGCGACTTTGGAAAAAGGATCCGCTTTAAGACATGCGTCCAAAATAGCATCGGAAACTTGGTCGGCAATTTTGTCTTTATCATAAAACGAACAAAATGATAAAAATTTTTATTACGGAACTGACTTTAGGAGAGAGAAACGACCTTTGTAACAGACTTTACGTACCAGGATGGCCCTCGCCTACGGACTCTGAAGTAAAAAGAAAAGTTTCTCCCCCAGACATGATAATAAAATGTACAAAGAATGAATGAAGATAGTGTTAGTTTTTTTTTTTAAAAGATCATGTATTAAATATATTACGATAAAGATAACGATAAGCACGAAATTTTTTTTTTTAGATGTACAAGATGGGATGTCATGCAAGATGTAAATTGCGCAATCAAGAACATGTGAAATAATATTCCAAACTGGTAATTTAATAATTTAGCTTAATGTGATCATGACATTTATTAATATTACAATTAAAGTTTTCGTTACTGTTTAAAGTCCTTTAAATTTTTTTGGATGATTATCATGCAGCAAAATTCGTTCAATCGGGCAAAGGGATCTAATATAATACTAGTGTTATCATTATTATATTAGTATTATCTCAAAAAAAAAAAAAGATTTGTCATATCGAATCAGTATAAAATAGGTTAAATGTTTGACTTTTTCATTTATCAGATGGGGCTAATAATAAAGTTTTTAAGGTTTTTTTTTTTTTTATATACAGTAATATATACTGTCTGTATATATATATTATATATATATATTATATATATACTGTATATAATAAATTTATTTAAAAAATTTTTAATAAAGGTATATTTTAAAAAATAAATTAAAAATTTATATATAGAAAAGAAATTAAGGACATGCCTAACTATTAGTAATAATTTAGTATCTAAACTAATCTTTAAAATGAAAAATAAAATACATATTTGAATATTCAACGAATTTCCGGATATTCATCCAATTCTTGACTGATATTCAGTTGATCTTTTTTTGACTGGATCACTATTTGTTATAGATTAAGAATCGGTGTAGAAAGATTAAGATAAATTTAATGATGGTTAACCTTTATGTTATTACTCGAAATGGTACCGATGGGCATAACCATTTTCTTATACCAATACTCTCTATTTGACATGATGATTATTAGATAGACAAATAAAAATAAAGATGTTGATTGCATAAAAGGTATATTCTGCAAATTGGTTGGATAATATACGGAGTTTATGATAGAAAAATAAGAACTCATGGACCATCGAGAATTGTTGCACTCAAAACTCTGTCAAGAGGTTGGCCAATGGACCAAAAAGTGGCTTAGTAAATATCAATGGAATATATCCCATTGACATTTTTTTCAGAGCCATCATAGTCCATTGCTAATCTTGCAATCAAGATATGAATATCCTAATAATTTTTTGGGTTCGATTGACTTGAAATACCAAAACAAATGAATACATGATGGTGTTTCAATAAACTAATAATGGAAGTTAGGTGTACTTTATTCGTGCAGATTTTCATAGTGATAATACAGTATATCTTACTAAATAGAATCTTACAGAAATTTTATATCTCGGATACGGGAAGGGCTTTGCCTTATTTAACCGTTTACGTTTACTCAAGCGGCAGGTATTTACACTTTTGGAACGATCACGAATTTTGACGTTGATCTTGTAACGAAGATTTGTGGGTTGCGACCTGAATTTGCACCAGAAACTCCCGATTGTTACGTAGAATTACGATGTATGGATTCACGTCATGGTAACGCCCCAATGTTATATAGCATTTGACATATTTTTTTCATAAATTTTGAGACATCTAATAAAAAATTGACCGATTATGTAATGACGTGTACAGTATATCGATAATATGATAGCTATGTAATGTATATCGATATCACTACCATTTTCAAAGCATATTTATTGGAAAATTATTAAAAAATATTCAGTTCAGATTAACGGGTCTTCTATGAGTCGAATTATCTCTCAACCACTTTCGAAGACATGGATATTTTCATGTGTTGAAAAAACTTCTAGTATTTAGTGATCGTAATCGATTTGGCGTTAGTCGATAAAATCGGCTTAGTTGACTAATTCGACCGATTTTTTTAAAAGATCGATTTAATCATAGAGGTTAGTGGTGTGAGCGCAGTGCCGTAATTGGTCGTATTAATTTTCACAAAAACTCAATTATATCGTGATCCAATGATCCAAATTGGATGAATTTGATATCATTCGATTCGTCTCGATGTAACGAATCGAATAGTACCCAAATAATTCAATTTGAATCGCTGGATCACGATATATTCTCGAAAAACTACTGGATGAATTACGACAGAATTACGGCACATTTTCCGTAATTCATTGAATCATTATTTGTGAATACCTTGTGATCCAGTTATTCGAATTGGATGATTTTGGTATCATTTGATTCGTCTCATCGAGACAAATCGAGTGGTACCAAAACCATCCAATTTAGATCACTGGATCACGATATAATTGAGTTTTTGTGAAAATTAATACGATCAATTACGGCATTGCGTTCACACCACTAGTAGAGGTAGTAGTTGAATCCATTTTTATATCCGGATTATAACTCTATTTAGTCGAGTTGAAAGATTATGAATATAGGAAATATGGTACAAGATAGATACTGTTACACTCAAGCCACCTCTCAAATGGTTCGTTGTAACTGGGCGTTAATAATTTATAAATGCCTCACGTGCTTAGTATATTAAGCCGTGAATACTAAGAGGCTTTATGTGATTTGGTTTCGAAAGAGGCAAGTATATGAAGATACCAGAAGACGTTTAGATAAATCTAACAACAATTCAGAGTGATCATGTGTACACGATCATTAAGTTTCTTAATGGTCTAAATAGCTTTGCACTTGTGTATGAAGACACAGGTATTTGTATTTTATTTAGATTTGAATAATGATTTATTGAGGCAAAAGCTAAATATTAAATATTTTTGATACATATAAATAATTTATACTATTCAATTCATTGGATTTTCTTCTATCCATTTTTACTTTGCACACATTTCTCTTTAACTACTACCGTAAATTAGTGTTCCTAGTTGGTAAAAATTTGCCAATCGATTAGTTGGCAACTAAAGTTAATCGATTATTGGCATCACGTGACTAATTAGCTGTTTAGTTGCTTAGTTGTTTAGTTGTTTAGTTGATATAATAAAATTAGTTACAAATAAAAAATATTAATATGTTTTATAATCTTGTTTAATTCTTGCACTTAGTAAATAAATAATAATATAATGCGCCTTTATAGGACTTTTATTCTATAATATAAAACTACAATTTATTTTTATTATATTAAAAATATTAAATTAAGAAAAGGTCTTTACTTAATAAGAGAATACAATATGTACTTCACTATATCAAAT